TGTGTGTGTGTGTGTGAGAGAGAGAGAGAGAGAGAGAGAGAGAGAGAGAGAGAGAGAGAGAGATTTCAGCATATACACCTTTCTTTCTAGTCCCACCTATGTTTTGACCCACCAAAGCAGGTTCCCTGAAAGCCGAAACCCAGGGTCTACTTATAACATTCTCTAAAGGTAAGACTATAAAAGCTGTAAGAAGACTGCCCTGTCCTTTATCCTCGGATCAAGCACCCATTTAACACACAACAGGCGAAGCTGTGCAAAACACTTGTGGACCTAATGCTTAGTCCAAATGGATGTTTACTCTGAGAGAGAAGAGCAAAGACAAGGAGGCTGATCCCAAGCCAAAAGATGGGCTGCTCTGTGAGTGCAGGGAGGAAGAACGCTGATAGCCAAATACAAATGACTGAGTCCTGCCACTCACCTGAAAGACCACCCTGGACTTCTCCAGCAAGTAGGTCCTCATGTTGGCCCCGATGATGTGGTACTTTTTATCAAAGCCAATCTCAATGAACTTCCCAAAGCGGCTGCTATTGTCATTGCGAGTGGTCTTGGCATTCCCAATGGCCTGGATTAACAGACAATAGCAATGTGTAATCAATGAGGGCAAGAGGCTAGGAAGACAGGCACCTCCCATACAAACACCCCACGCCGCACTGGGATTCTTGACTTCAGGACTGTAGATCTGTGGCAGCATGGTACCCACACACACCTCTGCTATTGCGAAGACACTGGGCTGAGGGAGAAGTTCTGCTTGGTTTGCTGAAAACTAAACCCAAACCAATGCCACTTTTCAGCCCCTTGTATGACGACTGCCCACCCTGCGGAGTTATGCGCTGAGTAGAAGACTCTTCAGAGGAGACACAGCCAGGTCAGAGAAACTCTAACCTGCCATTTCTCCGGCCCTCTTCCATTTTTTTTTTTCTATCTAGAATACATGGGTAACAACTGTACCATTCACTCTGGGCCCTCGAAGCAAAGGCCTGGTGAATCAGAGACTCTGGCTCTGATGTTCTGGAGCTATCCCTGTGACCACAGTTCTGCTGTGATTAATCTACTTCCATCCCTCATGCAATCAAGCAGCCTAATGCTTTGCCCTGGTGGTGAATGGCACTTCGTGGAAAGGCCATCAAATGACATGCTTACCCTACTCATTACTAAGGCTGATCAAGAAGTCACTCACCCTAGGGGTCACTTCCTACATAGCAAGGCTACAGGCCGAACAGTAGTACACAATCATTTTTTGGAGGGAAGACGCCTCTATGAATCCCCAACTGGCCTGGAATTTGCTATGGAGACTAGCCTGGCCTTCAACTCACAGCAATCCCCCTGAGTTCTGGGATTAAAGATGTGTGCCATCACATCCAGCCCATAATACTCTAAAATCAATCATTAAATAACTGGTCTCATATGACTATTCACTTTCTATAAGTCCTAATACTAACTTGCCAATAATCGATTTCTCTTATTTTAATCTCTTCTGTTTATTCATTTTCAGGTGGTGAAAACACTTAGAAAATCCCACTGCAACTTTTTAGTAGTCTAGAAAAATATGAAGTGCCAAGAGGTTGAAAGGAAGATCCAAAACCACTCTCTAGTCCAGGCCAGCCAAGTCCAACTACTTATATTTGCTAGTTTCAAATCCCAGGTGGCCTCTGAGATTAAGGAGGCCATGATGGAGCTGAAGGCTAATCTCTATTGCTTTACAGGGCTAGCTGACGTCTAACACGCTCACACTTCATGAAGACAACGGTTACAGTCCCTGCTCTGGAGTTGAACAATGTGAAGCCCAGGTCCTTGCTCTCTTCTGGGGGAATCTGTTCTGCCAGCACACTGGTCTGCCTGTGTACCACCCTGCAAGTGTATCCAAATGATGTCCTGTATGCCAAGCAGCTTTCCATTTCCCTCTGTCCTACTGCATGGACCTGGTCCACATCGCCACTCTCTCTGTCCTGGATAATGTCAACTCTCTCTCTCTACATTTTCTGTTCCTGATCTTGTGACTTTCAGTCAATATTCCTCTTGACTAACAGCAGTTCGTGTAAAATGTGCACCTGATTGTGTTCTTGGGGTAAAATCCTTCAATGGCTTCCAATACCCTTTAGTTTTAGAGCCTCGGCATGGCTCACATCCCTGGTAGTAGTATCCCACCCAGCCGTCATTCATTACTCTAGTACTTGGTCCTCAAGTCTAAAAACCAGAACAATTTTTTTCTCTTCAATAGCCCTGTGATTTCTCCACAGTCATGCGAGATTCACCTACACTGTTCCCTCTGTTGGGACTCTCTTCCCACAGCTCCCCATGCCTACCAGCCCCTCCTGTTCAAATCCAAACCTGAAAGCAGACAGGCAGCCCTTCCCTGACCCCACAGGCCAGAGGAGTTCCACCTACCACATATTTTTCTGGACCCTGCACAAACTCTGCCTTCCCCTCCAGGAAAAGAGGTGTGTCCAGGTACATTGGTGGGCTTCTAAGTCCCCAGCACGAAGGTCTGACTCCTAAGCTCCATGGGACAATGGCAGACTGTCACACTTCAGTAAGACAGTTCTGTTTTGAAGACAGAAAAGTCGTCTGTCCTTTCTAGAATACTGACAAAACTTAGACTTCCCCGGGCCTCCAACATGAGGCCCTGGGCTGGGCTGCTTATTGTGACAGTTAATCTGGACAAGAACCCTAAGAGGCAGCTATCAGTTTTCATCATATGTACAGAGAAATGGGCTTGGGAAGGTCAAATAATGTGCCCAAGATCACATGGCTAGGAAGCAGGCAAGATTCAAATTCAGGTCCCCCTGGAGTCTCAAGTCTAGACTGGGATTATACGGAGTCACAGTCTTTCATGCTGTCTCACAGGTCACCCCCACTCACACCAGACTAGAAGCTGCCATCCATGGAGACAACTTCCATGGTTCCAAAGACCGAGTCAAATCAGAAGTGAACACAGAAAGCAACACCAATCCTCCAAGCCTTTCTTAGCTCAGTCCTCAGCCGGGGACTAGAGAGAATGGAGTGCAGAAATATCAACCCTTATGTTTACCCTCTCAAGAAAAAGGAGAGGAAGCCACACTCAAAACACAAAGACTCAAACCTGTACCCAAGCTCCCATGTAGCTACACCCAATGGGTGCTCTGCTTCCTAGTTTCAAGGCAAAGAACGCTGCCTGCCACACGTTCCTGCCCCTATCATGGTAGAGCAGCCCCACGATGAGGTGAAGTCTCTCTTTGTAGATTTTGCACTAGTCAGCACAAGAGTAGTAACCAAGTATGACTGTCACCATCTTGTAATTCTGATGGACTAACAGACCTAAGCATAACTGATGGCCGCCAACGTCACCGCACAGCAGGTAGATAGCCTGGTCCTTCTGAAGAATGCCAGCAGAGCGGCCTATTACAGTCTTGTAAAAACAACTGCAACATACTTCTACACTTCACCAGCCTTAAAACACACAGACAACTGAATATGTTAAACATGAGTTTACAATCTACAAAAGCCAGTTTGTGGAAAATTATAAAAGACCGCATACTTTCACTATTGTCAAGTAAACTTCAAGTTCCAATTTGTAATTTCAAATTTCAAGAAGGTTAGATGTCTTATTTTGTAAAATAAACACTGTATCAATTACCAAAAAAACAGGTGTGGGGACTCACATCTTTAATCTCAGCACTCGGGAGACAAAGGCAGGAGGAGCTCTGTGAGTTCAAGGCCAGCCTGGTCTACATAGCAAGTTCTAGGCTAGCCAGAGCTACAGAATGGTACCTTGGCTCAAATAAACAAACAAAAAGGACCGCTGCGTGTTCTTTGCTGTTTATGAATACAGAAATGTAAAACTCAACTAGACTTTCCTATATGAACTGTACAGTGATACACAAGAATCCAATGAATTATTTTAATGTTGGGTTATATCACAGAGAAGCAGACACGAAACTGTGTACACGCACAGGGAGGGGAGCAAGGAGTCATGCCAGCAGAAAGGAAAAAGGCAGGAAGAAAGAAAATCGCAGAGAATCTTACAGAATCCTACCAGTGGAGAAAAAGAGTGTGGACAAAGGGACAGGAGGGACTCAGAACAGACAACTTTGGAGTGGCTGAAATGGGAGGCCACACAAGAGAACACAGGCTATAGAGAGGCCATGTAGGAAGCAGATTCTTTTTAGACCACTCTAACCATTTTAAAAACAACAACAAAGACAAAAGTCCTAAACTCACACCTTTGGTCTTTTGTTGTTTGTTTGTTTATCATTTTTGTTGACTGTACTTCTAACTTATCTCCTTTTGGATGGAGAAGTGTCTCTGGCTCTCAGAGTTGTATGTCTGGTTTCATGATACGTAAGATGTCATATGGTCCTCTGGCCTGGCCTTGGGTTCTGTCCCTGTCCCTACCTCTGGTCCCGTGATTAGCAATGCTCTCCTAATCAATGCAGACTTGGGGACAAATCCCTCCTAGGATGCTCACAAGCTGTTAAGAAAATGAGGTCAGGGCACACTAGCACTGCCAATGAATTACACCAGTCTGCCCCAGCCAACCCCAGTCCAGCCTCCAGTCTCTATAATTCAACAGCTGCCACTCAGCTCAGCCTACTGGTACTTCTGCATCCTCAGACCATGTTTGGCTCTCAGTCTCCCCGGGAGGTGTCTGCAGTGAGAGCAAGGAGACATGACCCAGTAACTGATTGCTCGGGGCTGAGCAGGGGAACTCTTCCCAGGGACTGGGCAGAACAGTCAGCAATCCGCTGCTCCTACTTGAGACACTGTGTTCCTTAGACTCCTCTAGGGAGCCACAAGCTGATGACTTCCTGACACATAAACCTAGAACATTTGAAAAGTTATGTTCTCGATTTTGGCAGAGCAAAAACTTTCTGTTGGCAACACTCTAATCCCAGGCAGTATCCCTCCTGATTTCTGTTGCTTCCTTTTCCCTACCAAATTCAAGCTTTCCCCCAAAGAATAGCGCTGAGAGCTCACATTTGATGGAAGGCGCCCTCAGCACTTAAACTGATGGTTTCCAAAGCAGCTAGTTGCACAAGACAGAGCGTTAATGTCCGAGACGCAAACAACTATATTTATATACACAATCGTGATTAAGGCAGTTCATGTCCTCACTCCTCATTCAGACTCTAGCAATTAACCATATCCTGGTCTCCCTTGGGGATGCATGTTGCTCTTATGTTTCTCTCATGCCAAAGCATCCTCCTCACAGAACTCAGAAGCCTGCTTGAGCTGTAATAGACAGCGCATATTTTAAATTATTAGTAACCACTATAATTTAAAGTATTCCCAGGGTAGGGATTTAAATCTATAACTTCTGTATCAATGTCCATAGGAGGCATATTCACAATAGCCAAAAGGCAGAAACATCCACATAAGCATCAGTAGAGGAATGGCTAAGCACTCCATGGTGCATTTGTGCAGTGAGATATCCAGCCATAAAACGAACAAAGTATTGATAGACGGATGGACCTTGAAAACATCATGCCAAGTAAAGTTAACCAGGTACACACAGACCAGTATTAGACGATGCCATGCATGTGAAGTTCTCAGAGTAGCAAACGTCAGAGGTTGAAAAGAGTTTGGCAAGGACTCGGGGAAGGGAAAAGTAATTGTTCAATGGGAACAGGGTTTCTATTGGGGTAATGAGAAAGTTCTGGAAGCAGATGGTAGTGATGGCCACACAAACAATGAATGTATTTAATTTCTCTGATTCATTCACTTATAGTGGTATATTTTTGCCATGCATATCTTACACAATAAAAGTGATTGGAAATGCCCTTTCTGTCTTACTTAGTAACATGGTGCCTTGCCTGCACTGAATTCCAATGTGACTAATATTTATTTTGATCAGTCACCAGGCATCAGGGTGATAATTTTCTGCTTTGCTAAGAGTAAGTACTTTAGCCGGGCGGTGGTGGCGCACGCCTTTAATCCCAGCACTCGGGAGGCAGAGGCAGGCGGATCTCTGTGAGTTCGAGGCCAGCCTGGGCTACCAAGTGAGTTCCAGGAAAGGCGCAAAGCTATACAGAGAAACCCTGTCTCGAAAAAAAAAAAAAAAAAAAAAAAAAAAAAAAGAGTAAGTACTTTATCTTTACAAGAAGGCCCAGGTCTCTAAATATGCCTGAAAGATAACAACTTTGAAAGTCGAGTGAGGGAGAAAGCCTGCCTTCAGTCTCATTTGAGAGGAAATCTGTGCAAGCTGCAGAGCATTGGCTTAGCTTCTTTAATGTGCAGGCACACATCAGGAGTCAGGGAAGCCAAAACCATGGCCCATGGGTTTCCTCTGCATTTGGGCCACAGGCAGGACCTGAATTCATAAGTCTTAGACTACACAATGCTTAAACTGGATACTAACTAACTACTAGACAATAGCGAGTCATACTGTGGAAAACCACTTACTAACACATGTTGTGGCTAGTAAGTTCACCCAAAATTTAGTGTTACAGAGACAAGGCTGATGTGCAATACCCCGTGACAAAGTTGGAAGCAATGCATCAGGATGTGGAGTATCAGCTACAGCACCACAGGGAATCTGTCATTCTTCCACACGTTCTGTGACCCCTCCTGGTCTTATTAACTGTGAATCATTCTGCAAGCGAGCTATCTGGATCAGAACATCACCAATATATTGGTATCCAAGAGAGATACAAACTTTGGTCTTTTTTTTCTAGATCTTCTGAATCAAACTCCAGCACCCCAAGCTTCAACTAACTTCCAGATGTGAAATCCAGCACCCCAAAGTTTAGCAAGCCTCCAAGACAGTAATTATATAGTCCCTCCCTTCCTTTGTCTTTTTGAGACAGGATCTCTCTATGTAGTCCTGGCTATTCTGAAACTCGCTGTTTAGATCAGGCTGGCCTCAAATTCAGAGATCTGCCTGCCTCTGCTTCCCAAGTGTTGGGATTAAAGGCACATGCAACCACACCCAACCACTTCTAAAGCATTGTGTAAATGAAAATTCTCCTAGTTCTTTTTTTCTCTTGGCGAAAGCACCTTCAACTGTATTGACCACTCTCTGATTTATAAAATAATAATGAAGCTAGTATTTGAATTCTTAGAGAACAGGTGATGTCTTGTCACTCAGCAGGAAGGGCAGTTTTCCAGGAAAGGAGTTCTGAAAGCAGGACTTAGCTTGAATTTCCAAAGAACTGCCGTGACCTGAGACTCTGAATTGACTCCTGCACTTGGCAAAGGTAGAGGGAAAGAGAGGGACATAGTGGGACTGCAGATGGTCCAGGAAGTGTACTGCTCCACACCAGTGCAAAGATCCATGGCTGCAATGACTTGAGTTGATCGGGCTCAGGAATTGCAATGAAACCAGAAGTTATCTCAACTGGGCTGCTTCTTTTTCCTTCCAACCGAACTCCAACTTTATCCAGGATTCTCTTCATCATGGGTAGATGACCATTAATATAGAACTTTCTGACTCCCTTTTTTTATTGATTATTAAAACCAGACAGCCACTGCCAAACCTAAAGTCTTCATTCGATATTCTGAACAGGGAAAATTCACCATGAGGATTTGACTGCTCCCAGGAAGCATGTTCCTTGAATGTTTACAAACAATCCCTGACTTTCAGGAAAATAAATGGCAGAATTACTCATCTGAAGACTCACAGTCTAGAAAAGAAGACACTGCTCTTTTGAAGAGGGCAGCTTCAAAGCAATCAGCATCAAATCCTGATGACTAGATACACTATCCCCAACAGGACTCTGGGTCTAAGGGAGTTAAATCCACATTAGTGGTGAAGAGGAAGGAGTATAAAATGGGCTGGAGTTCTCACTCACCACCAGGCACTTGTGCCAAGTGGCCATGGGTCTTGATGTCAGGGAATCTCTCCCTCAGAGCCAAGAGGAAGACTCTAACACAAGCAGGGAAGATGTTTTCTGCACATATCAGTCTAGCCAGGGAGACACTGTTAGCAATACAGCTCCTTCCCCATAGCGATAAAGTTTCCTGTGTGCTGACAACACACCAAGAAAAAACTAAAACTGCTTTTCTCTAAGACTTGATCAAAACACTTCTGAATATACAGTCACTAGTACAGTTACCAACACACACAGAGACACACACAGACAGACACAGACACACACACACACACACACTTCACTTGGCATCTAAAGTGCCTTCAAGGCTTCTGTGACAGGTCTGTTGGGCATATCCATTTCTGCATGGGCTGATCACACCCTCGCCAGCATCAGATTTTTCCCTTTTTCCCTTTCTGCACCCGTCACCACCCCCATTTTTCAGGGTCTTTTGAAGTTTGGACTCCAGCTTTCCAGAAGTGAGTTCAGCAGACACCCCTGAACATCTTCTCTGTGCCTTGTTAACACTTCGCTGCGTCTCTGAGTGTCATCTGGAGACGGTAGGATTAACACAGGGAAGGTGGAGACATATTTATGCATGGCTTTGGGGTAGGTTTGGGGGTCATTTTCACCCCATCCTCTTCACAGTGCAGCTACAGTTTTTTTTTCTTAATAAAACAAAGGCACTGCCCAGCCTGGAGAAAGTAAGCAGAATGCAAACCTGCCAATAAAAAGGCTTCAAGAGTGGGTGTAGCAGTTAGCTTTGATTGCCAACTTAACATGTCCTAGAGTCGTTTGAATGGAAATCCTCAACTCAGGAATTACCTAGATCAGCTTGGTCTGTGCGCATGCCTGCTAGTGACTATCTGATAATTGATGGAGGAGGGCCCAACCCATCATGGGCAGCACCATTCCCTGGGCAGGTGGTCCTGGAGCTGTGTAAAAAAAGCTAGCTAAGCATGAGCCAGATAGTAGCATTCCCCCCATGGTTTCTGCTTCAAATTTCTGCTCTGACTTCCCACAGAAAATAAGCCCCTTCCTTCCTTTCTCTCCTTCCTTCCTTCCATAGCTGCTCCTGGCCAGCCAAAGAATGAAACTAGAATAGTAGAGCATCCAAAGTGACCCAAGCTATGAGGACATTTAAATCTCCTCTATCAGAATAAAACTTTTAAAGAGGAGAGAAAGACAGAGATAGAGAGACCCAGAGAGGGGAGGGAGGAAGTGTGTGTGTGAGAGAGAGAGAGAGAGAGAGAGAGAGAGAGAGAGAGAGAG